GTTTTATTGCCATGGTGTATTATCAGCAATTTGAAGGATTAATTTAAGACAGCATTATTACTTCGTTAATGAAGTTTTCCTTTACTATCACTAAATGAAATATATATACGCACACACAAAAAACCCACTACAAGGGAAAAAAAATAGGCATTTTAGCTTTCCTTGATCTACCCTTTAACATAAGCAAGATACTTATCTGCAGATGTTTGTATTTTTTAATTGTGCATCTAGTGGTTTGCTTTTGTAGGAGAGGTGAGCATGTATATACAAGCACTAACATTTAGGCGTAAAGAATTTGTCCCTGTGGGTTTGTGGATATAAATCTAAGTTCTTGAATGTGTAGGAGTAGAAGCACACAAGGTACGCTGGGGGTACATTTCTACGGAGGTGAACAAAGCCATAGTTCAAATAGGATCATAGCTATGACCAGCTCATCTAACATGGAAGCTTGTGCGTAGGTCTATGATATTCCTGCCCGGGAATCCCCAGTAAGCAATGTTGCTTCAAATACTGCTTCAGATATGATGACACAGAAGACAGAGGTGTGTGTTTGATTTTTTTTTTTTTTTTTTTAAACGAATTGCAAATCACCCGTGGTACTGCTGTACTAGCCTTGTATTTCTACTCAGTGTAGTTTATAGATTGCATTTGCAGCTCTATTCCCCAAAATGCACCCTTCCAACATGCATTTTTTCCTGAATAGTTGCAAAGCTGATAGCTTATTAAAATTGATGAGGCGTTTTACAAGCATACCAGTTTGTTCAGTTCAGATAACAAAAGGACATTCTATTTATTGAAATGTCATTAAATTATTTTTTTTTCCATGCTGGATTTCAGTACAGTACCATGACTATACTGAAATAAAAGTTATTTCAGACCATTTTGATAACTATAAAAAGGAATTTTTATAATGCCATAGCTCTAAAAATCCTCAAGGTTAAAATCAGCTATAATTTTTAACCTATATTAGTGCAGTGAGAAATATAAAAGAAAATGGGGTTAGTTAGCGATACTAAATCCAAAGTCCATGCTTGATGCTTGGTAGGGTGTGCCACAGTGTTTAGTATCAGAGAGTAGAAAATTCATCCCTGATCTAATTTTATTGAGTCCAAATCATTCCCTCCCTCCCTCCATGAGGAAAGGTTACATGTTTCTCCCCTCAACCCCTTTCTAAGAAAAAGACACAATTAGAGCTTATTTCAGACTCTGTTTCTACTGCTCATCAGCTGAGCAAACCAACAGGCTAATTTGTGGATTAGTTCCTCCACAGAGAACTTCAAGTGTTTCAGCTAAAAGATACGTGAAGAAACAGTGTTATCAAGTTAAATCCCCCCCCCCCCCCCCCCCCCCTTTTTTTTTTTTTTTTGAAAAAACATCTGTCAACACATATCTACAGAACACCAGGATGTGCTGATGCATTAAATAGCACAGCAGGTGTATTGGCTGTCACAGGCATGTTCAGCTATAACCATGTAGTTAAGTACAACATAAGTGCTGTAGTTAATAGGACAATAATATTAAAATGTATTTGCAGTGCTGACAGTTCAGATTCTAATGAACCATGCACCAGTCAAACATAGGAACATCAAGTAAAAGAATCACACTTCCAAGGCAAGTTCATATTTCTCCTCATCTCCCAACAAACATTTTAAATGAGCAGATGCTAATATTCCAAATCAGCATGTCTCAAAATCCCTGTGAAACTATCAGATGCATTCTCTACTTTAGCTGTATCAAATCAATGCATTTCATATACCCCCATGTAATTAAAAACAGAAAATAAACCATTAATTCCAGTTTACACAACTTTTTTTTTTTTTTTTACACCTTCCAGTAGCTATGTTGTTTAGTAGATGCTTATCATTTTTGCTGCTTTTGTTTAATTTTCTTTCTGGCTTGTGTTGCGTTTTTTTTTTTTTTTTGCAACATTCCACCTAGACTCTGCCTAAAAAGACTTCACCTTTGGAGGCATTAACACATCCAGAGAGCTTTACAGAACTCCTTATGGCCTTAAGCTCAGATGACGTTCCTCCTTCCAAGGCAGAGAGACTGAGTCCCAAGCATGAAGTCAGAACTCACGCTGACAACAGAAAATGTCTCATGGAAGCAGCAAATAGTTGATTAAAGAACAGCCTTCCAGAAATGGCAAATAAATAAGCAAGCCACGGATTATTATGTATTTAAAAATAATATTAAAATTCCCCTTAGGCATTTACATAGTTCTAAACTTTACCCTTCACACACCAGGTGCTGATTAAAACACATTTGTTACAATACAGAATACTACACTTTCAGCCTCCAAAGCCGTAAGAACAGTGACTGGACTATGGTCTTTGCTGGGAGCTTAGTCACTAAAGAAATACAGGTCTAAACCTCAGTCTCTTGAGACTTTATGAAGATTTATGTTATTTACTTACTGTTTCTTAGATTCCAAAGAAGCATATTATCCTGATCTAATAATGAAAATAGTATTCAATAGATCATAATGCCAGAAAGGTCCATTATGATAATCCAGTGCAATCTTCTGCATAGTACGCTGCCATGGATTTCATCCAGAGATTGCAATGCTTGACTGGAGTTAGAACTTAACCTCTAAGTGCTTTTTATCTCTAACATCAAACTCGGTGCTATAAAACAAAACCAACAAACATACGCCAAGTTCGCAACTTACAAGTACTCCATTAAAATGCTCTTACTATAAAAGAAACAAAAATGACAGTAAAGCAAGTTTTCCTGTTCCAGTTATTTTACTGCTTGATCTAGCTCAGATTTAAATTAATGTGAAAGACAAGATCATTTGAAAGCACTGTGGAGAATGATGTGAATAGTCCTAATTTACAATTCCTACAGTGAGAAGAATAAAGAAGTTATTTCAAGCTTTTTTGCATCCATATAAAACCATTTGTGGTCTTACAACTGCAAGAAAAGCCATTTAGAAGATTCACTGACTTGTGTCCGGTAAAATACTAGTGACAGACTGTCACAGGAAATTGCAGGATACCTTCATGTGCAGTTTTATTCAATTTTCAGACTTAAAAAATGCATTCAATTATCGACAGAATTGATCTGAAAGACAGGAACAACAAAAGAAGCAACAGAAGCCAATCCTTCTGTGGCCAGTGACTGCTTGGTATTACACCATACAAGCGTTATCATAACTGACCATTTGGTGGTTTGAATATTTATAAGCATTTCCCTGCAGTCACTCATGTTTCCATTGAACACCAGCTTCCATTCATTCATTGCAATTTTTCCAAGAAGATTTTTCTTCAGAAAAAAAAGCTCCCTGAGGAACTGACTCTTCCTCTCCTTTTTAAACACAGAACCTGTGTAGCAGAAGCACAGAGCAGAGAACAGCTGAAGTGCGTGTTTTACTTTACAGAACAACAATATTTTACTCCAGTTTCCCTAAATAAGGAACAAGAGAGGAAACCGAGTCCTCTTTTTGGACCTGGTGACAAATACTTCCATAGTATACAAAAAATTTATGACAAGTGTTTTGGCAGAGGACAAGATATCCTCATACCTTTATAGTCTTCCATCTAAGAGCTTGTTGTTAAAAAAGTAGATGTCTATGTTTGACTTTTAAAGTTTATGTCTTGTACCAGTGCCAAGAGCACATCCCAAAGGGCTCTTCACATTTATTTCATATGCATTTAGTAACACTGTCAGTGGACAGAGGGCAGACAAAGTGCACAAGAGAGTTTTTGTGAGCACCCTAATAGCAGCCATCCTCTTAGACTGTAATTTGAACCAGGCTGACCCAACGGGGACAGTCACTGCACCTATCTACTAGTGATCTGAATTGCGACATTATTGCTTTGATAAAGGAGAACTGCAGGAAATTGATGCACCCAAGGAGCAGAAGTTGAGTCACCCCTTCTCTGACAAAGTGCTTCATTACTAACATTCACCTAAGGTATATTTTTTCCTCAGAGAAAACCCGCTCCTTTACTTGTCTCTCATTATGAGATAATCTTTTGAAGAGGACCAGTCCACTGGGTTTTATAAAGAGTTAAATCAGAAAGGTATTAGGCATGGAATATCTGACCGTAACAACGAGGCCAGCAAAAGTCATGAAACTGTGTGTGGTACACAGAATAGTTTTCTAAATTGAATGTTTCTCTAAATTTTCCATGGAAAAATATGGTACTCCTCAGTGTGACAATGCAAAATAAACACTGCAGCTTCTTAACAGAACTGTCATGACTTAAGCCTTTCAAATTGCTCCTCAGTCTCATAGGAAGACGCCAACATTCCTCTATCTGCTTATTTGCTTAACTGTTCAAAAAGTCTGCTTTCTAAACAAATTACAGAGGTAAGTACCTTAATGCTATGTTATTCTCATTACTGAGGCACCATCCTACATACTCACTTTGGCAAGCCAAGCACAAGCTCTTGTTTATTGCATGGGTGTAATTACAATACAGGTTTCTGCTAAACTAGAAGGAAGTCCAAGTAACACGTAGTTATAAGTTTTTGCTCAGAAACTGAATGTTACTCCCACAAAGGAAAAAAAAAAAAAAAAAATGTTGTTTTCCCTCTCCAGGCTGTATGTGGGAAAAGCATCTTTAAGATGAAACTGCAAGATAACTCACTACAATATAAATTTTGTTTAAAAACAATAGTGGTATTTTCTGAAGAGCAGCTTATAAAGCACATTTCATCTTATGGTTACAGAGAAGAATGTTTACATGCCAGTTACAGTAAAAACGCTCAAAACAGCAGCTGGTAGAAAGTCAGGAGACATTTGTTAGGACAACGGGGCTTGGTTTCCCACAGCCTCCGCACCTTTTATAAACTGGTACGTCTTAAGAATAAAGCCGGATCATTCTTGCCTGGTAACACCGTCACGTCTGCTTGACGCACACAAAAACCATGACCAAGTTGCAATTCATATGAAAAGAAAAACCAAAAAAACCTCAAGTCCATAGAAACCAACGATTTCACCGTAAAGCTTGCCAGTATGAAGATTAGAAATCGTAAAAGCTGGGTCTTACCATTAGCGTTTTTCCCACAGATGAGATGCTCGTAAGGTTGCAACACTCCCCAAAGTTCAGCATCGTTGTTGATAACCATCTCCAGGGTTTCAGCCGAGATCTCCCCTCCTCCACCATCTGGGCTCTGACTTGCCAAAACCCTGGCCTTAATCTCTTCTACAAGGTTTTCCATGCAAGCGGTTAAAGAGATGGCTGCATATTCGTGGATCCTAACTGAGATCCTAGTGTCCACCATCCACCTGAAAAACCTCCCCACTGAGAAGGTGAGGCCGCATCTAGCCGATTTACCTTTCCTCAGTCCGTCTCCAGCACTCATGCTGTAGAGAGAGAGCGCCTTGACAGTCGCCAAGACGCAGCTTTCCGACAACGACCAGCTCTGGATGAGCTTGATGGCGCTTTGCACCTCAAACCTGGTGCACTTGGAGTGCATCACGCTGAGGCGCTGAGCTTCCCTGGAGACCCTGATCAAGGCTCGCCTCAGGAGCTGCGAGAGCCGCCTGACAGCTTCCTGAGAAAAGGTTCTGGCGTTGCCATCTCCCTTCCCTTTTCTGAGAATTCTGCCAATGTCTTCATCAGTCCAAGGGTATTCCTCTAGATCCGGCAGCTTAGGACACTTGGAAAAGATATCTGCAACCTCGGGGTCTTCCGGCAGAACAGTGTTCACGGTATCCCAGCTGTTGTTCCTACTGTTCATCGAGCCCGAGTAATACCACCAGTTGCCTCTGTGCTGAGAAGAGGTGAAGGCTTGGGAGTTGGACTTGGAAGACGAGAGACTAAGGGACCTGCAGGAATCCCCTGCCCCATAACCAGAGTCCAACGTTAAATCCTCCAGGGTCTTCAGAGTAGAGCTGTATATCCCAGCCATAGGAAAGACGGGTTAAGCCAACCGCAAAGACCACGAAAGGTGAGGCTGGCGGGGCGGGGGGGGAGATCCCTCCTGCGCCTACCGAGCCGGAGCCGCCCGCCCCACCGGCGGCGAGGGAGGATTTAGAGCACAGCGGCGAGGAACCGCACGCCGGTTCCGCCGAGGGCCAGCTACCTCCATCCCGCAGGGAGGCTGCCCTCAGCCATCTTCTGCCTGGGGAAGGGCCCGGGCGGGGG